AATCTAATAATTTATTTATCTACGTATATATGAATTCATTGTTCTCTAATCAAAATTTTCGTGTAGTGTATGCATCATCTCCAGCAGAGGTCACCATTTAGCCAATACCAAAACACAGAGAATCAGGTCAGTTGTCGTGTCTACACTATATGGCTCCTTTTACTGTCCTGTCCAAAAAAATTTGCATTTTGGACCGGACCAAAAATTCAGCATGAATAAGTCGTTTATGTTGCATTACTGCCACCCTTTGCAAGATTTTAAGTAACTGCTTAGTTTTGTTGTGAATAATACTGCATATATACAAATATAAATAAATATAAATATATGCATATAAATACCTTGCAATCTTTACATTTGTATATTGTAATATGAAAACATATATCTATCCGAATTTAATTATTTTCATTTTATTTACATCTCTTTACGCTTTACCGTGGAGACACGCGCAACATTTGTTTGGACATCAACTCCCATAGTTCCCTGCGGTGCATTTTACCGGAAGAAAACCTGCGCTTTTCCTTTTCCCCTTCCTCTTTCCGTCAACGGAGTTTAGGTATGCAACTTACTGTTCGATTCCCTGTGAAATATCTAGTGTAAATCTTGTTTTTCTTAAACCATCCGTGTTAAAATTGTTTTGAAATATGTTCTGTTGTTGTATTAAAGTGAGCCCCGATTAATATTTTAGTTACAAACATGCTTCTTTTAGGAAATTTTAGCGGTTGACGGTAGCTCGTAGATGACATGGTGCTAAGATAGCGGTGATTAGCGGCTCTGAGGCCGGGCCAGTAGTGGTTACACACCGATTGTTGTTCGTATGTATATTGTGTGTCCCCGAGAGAAAATACAGCTTTTCTAATATGGATGTATTTATAGTAGTTACCCGCAATTTGCTATGTAAGTTTTGTGAAACAACGCAGTGCTGTGATTGCCTAGTTATTTGCGAATTTCAGTGGGTTAGCATGCTAGGCTAAATATATAGTTAAGGACAGACAAACAAGACAGAAATTGTCCTACCTTTAAATATTCCATTTTGTAGGCGTCGAAGTAATTATTCAGTACCGAACTGGACTGGGGACCTCAAAGGGTTTTAGGCTGTACGTTAAAATTCATTTTAACGTATCCATCACCAACATGTGTGACAGTGTTGTAGTACTGACCTCCGTTTACGTACAGGAAGTTGTAAGTGTAGTTGAGAAACTGAGGTTAATTTTATAGGAACAGATTTATTAGGGTCACGATATAATGTTGTCGCATTACAGTAGTTGCGTATGAAAATGCAATTTAAGAAAGTTTGTTTCCAGTTTACAAGAACAACATCCATGAGCAACAATTGTTATAAAATGTTTACTGAGTGATTAGTATTCTGACTGCATTACCTTTATTTTGTAAATCTGTTTCAGTGCAGGATGGGACGTGTAATCAGGGGACAGAGAAAGGGTGCCGGCTCTGTGTTCAAAGCCCACGTCAAGCACAGAAAAGGTGCTGCCAAACTCCGTCATATTGACTTCGCCGAACGCAATGGTTACATCAAGGGAATTGTAAAGGTAAGGAAATACTCTAACTTACCTTTTGGAGATGTTGTTTTTCTATTCACCCAGTATCCAAAGCTCTGAGTGATTTTCTGATAATGGTTTGCTCCGTCAGGATATTATCCATGACCCTGGCCGTGGCGCTCCCCTGGCCAAAGTGGCCTTCCGTGACCCATACCGCTTCAAGAAGAGGACCGAGCTCTTCATCGCTGCTGAGGGCATCCACACTGGACAGTTCATTTATTGTGGCAAGAAGGGTAAGAAGACAAAATGCAAATGCACCTGTTTAGTACTGTTGGGTACTTTTTGCTATTTTTGTTGACAATTCTTAACTAATTTTACCCATTGTTCAAAGAACAGCTAGTGCTAATGTGTTCTTGACGTCGGTTTGACATGAGTAGTGATTAAAGCTTTCTTGATCTTATTTCAGACAAGAACTAATTTAGAGAGATGTTTATTGTCAGTACACTCCATGCCCAAGTGTAACAATTAATTTCTAGATTTCAATGAGGCAGTGTGTTTTAATGCTGCCAGTGCAGTGTCAAGAAAGCTCTGTCATTAAACCATCACAATTCTAACATTCTTAGTGTTATGTGTATTTTCTTGTACTAAATTATTTTACCAACATACTATCACGATTGAAATGTCTCTAGGTCAAAGAATTTTTTGTGTATTACCTTATTGGCTTAGATTAGTGTGGTTGTGTTGTCGTGCTAATAATGACATCACAAGGTTTTGACGTATGTAGAATTTGGGTAATGCTGGACATAAAATGTAAAATGAAATGAGTTGTCCTTAGATAAAGTTTATATCTTGTCATTTTTTCTACAGCTCAGCTGAACATCGGTAATGTCCTGCCTGTTGGCGTCATGCCTGAGGGAACCATTATCTGCAGCTTGGAAGAGAAACCTGGCGACAGAGGCAAACTGGCCCGTGCTTCGGGGAACTATGCCACAGTCATCTCTCACAACCCTGAGACTAAGAAGTCCAGAGTCAAGCTGCCCTCAGGTGCCAAGAAGGTCATCGCCTCTGCTAACAGAGCTGTTGTTGGTAAGATGACCTTTGTTACTTATTTCCTGTTCCCTGTGTATTAAAGGAACCAACTGTTTTGTTTCCTTCATGTGTTATCTGTGAGGTGTATTCTAACCAGCTTTTCCACTTTAAGGTGTTGTTGCTGGTGGTGGTCGTATCGACAAACCCATCCTGAAGGCCGGTCGTGCCTACCACAAATACAAGGCCAAGAGGAACTGCTGGCCACGTGTCCGTGGTGTGGCTATGAACGTAAGTCTTCATGAGCGTTGTCACACTGTTTACATTATGGTCTGGTGAATTAATGTGTATGTGAGAGAAGGGCAGTGTTGTAATTTCTTAAAGTCTGTTCCTGTAATCGATGTTCTTTTTTTACTGCTCTTCCCACAGCCCGTTGAGCATCCCTTCGGTGGTGGTAACCATCAGCACATTGGTAAACCCTCAACAATCAGGAGGGACGCACCTGCTGGTCGCAAGGTCGGTCTTATCGCTGCCCGTCGTACAGGCAGACTGCGTGGAACAAAGACTGTCCAGGAGAAGGAGAACTAAATCTGAGATTCTTGATAATAAAAGATGTTCCAAAAAATCTGATATGAATTGTCTTTGGGGTTTTATGGGGTACAGATGCATCATTTGTCTGAACACACCACAAGCTTAAGTATTTCCATCAAAGAAATTAAATATTTTTATAAACATCCTGTTGTCACTTGGATTAAGTTGAAACGGTATCCAAACAAATTACAAATTATTGGTTATTCTGGTGTGTAATCATGACCAGACTTGATAATGTGAACAGAGGTTCTAAACTGCAGTAATGCTTAATTATGCTGACAATACATATACATATGAAAATACAGGCTGGGGGTCTGCCTGCTGGGCATTGCTGCCTGACGCACCTCCTCCAGTGCCTTTGCACAAACAGCAGATTAATAATTGTTTTAATGTTGGTTTAATGTTTATTTAAAGACTCGTATGTCTAAGCTCTTAAAAAGATAAATGAGTCATTAATAACATCTCCTAAAGGCTACCAGTTTGAGACTATTTTAAAAATTATAATGTACTCCATAAAGGGAAAAACACAGCAGTCACAGTTAAAGGACAACATGAAATTGGACCAAAATGTCCATCCATCCTTGAATATGTGATGAAGCATCATCAAAGCCAGTTGTCGCTAATGTCTGACTGGTTTAAATCCAGAAAACCAGAAGCATTGTTCTATCTTCACCAAAAAGACAAGCAAACCTACTGTTTTCCAGCCTCTACCCTAAAGACGCTGAAGGTGGGACTAACCTACAGACTGGATGAGAACTAGTCGCTCAGAGACAAAATTGTGGCTCTGAAGAAACTAGTCTTCCAGCTACTGAAAAATAAGCTTGAAATGAAGTGTCTAAGCACGTTAACCAACAAATCCAGTCAGCTGGAGTCACTTGAAGTGAAGAAACAGTTATTCAGATGCAGTAACAGAAGAAGGCAGAGTGGAGAATGACAGAAAACAACAAAGAACCTGATCGAGCGGCTCGAGGCTCTGAAGCCATCAGAGAGGAGAGAGAGAGGATATACAAACTGACGAAAGGTCTGACTCAGAGATGATGTTTTGGAAAAGGACTGAGGAAGACTTTTGAACCGAAGAACACAAACAGATAAAGCAGTTTGAGGCTCACCGCCATCCCAAAACATGTGCCTCCTAACCTGCACCACCCATTATTGACCTTTTGCCATTTTTTGATGTACAACAATAAAATACAGCTTTTAAACGTCTTGCGTCTGTACTATTATGTATGAAGGTAGAACTCTTGTTCACTGATGTCAAATAATTTCAAATGTGGTCAAATTATAATTTAAAAATATAATTTGGAGGACTACTACCAAAGTTGCATGTAGTTCTACACCTGCAGATTTCTGAACTGTATTCAACTAGAAATCTAACAACAGAATAGTTCCTTGATATATAGACAAAAATCATAATAATAAAGTAAAAATGTTAACTACAGAGTAATATATGACAGAGCCTTAATTTAAGAGTTGGTAAAATGCCACTAAATGAATAATGTGCAGCATCAGTGGAGAATCTTTACAATAATCTCCAATTGACATAACACCTTAAACCTTAGGAATAATTACTTTAACAGGGAAATAAACATCCAACAGCAACAGGTACACCAGCTGAACATCTTAATGCAGAAATCCTTAAAAGTCAATGACAGAATCATCATTGTGTTAAGGTGAATAATGCCAGCAGTTCTGAAGCTACAGGACCATCCAACCCAGTACAGGAATAATGTACCTAAAGAAGTGGCCATTGCATGAGAATGTGGAGCCATAATGAACTGTGGCTTTATATGAGAACAGATTTAATAAGGAAAAACAAAAAACCAGAGTAGGAAATGCAACTAAAAAAAAGGTCTTCATGTCAACTTCTTCACGAGTAAAATCAGACACAGACAAGATTCCATGTTCTTTATTTGCTAAGGGCGCAATGCTTTTTTTTTGTTATATTTCTGTGCACAAAAAACCTCACAAAGTGAAAGTCCACATCGCGACTGTAGCTCCAGAATTCAACGTCACACCATGGCCAAAACAAAAGTCGGCAAAAAACAGGGCGCAGAACTCTGTACAGTCAATATCTTCTTTAAAAATAACACAAGGACAAAATGTTCCTCTTAAATCAAATTCTATTTTAGTGAAATACAACAAAATAAATTCTATAAAATAAGAGCAAAATATTTAAATATAATACGGTGGGCAGAATATTTTCACTTGCAGGAGTATTTGGTATGTTTTTAGACAAAAAAAAGTAAAATTCCAAAAAAAGAAAAAAGAAAAAAGAAATACACGCATTCAAGTTACCAATTAAATACAGTATTTACTGATGTGTTGTTTTTTTTTTTTAACCTTTTACTCCTACAAAATTACAAGTTAGCTCGGGTTTCAACATGACTAACCACCTGCTATTCTGACGGTACAACCCTGTCTCTGATGGAGTGGGAGGGCGAAGGTCTGACTGCCACTCAGGTTTGGACTCTTTGTCACCTGAACTGCAGCCAGACCTTAAATCCTGACCAGCTCCATGACAGAGAGGAAGCCTATGGGCAACATGTCTGTCTACGACTAGGCTCTACTGTAGAGACCGAAACAAACCACACAGTCGATGATTCACCAGAAAGCCCTGTGCAGTGACTCTGTTGCATACAAGTTTCATTTTTGTAGAATTCCTATAGATGAAAAAGCTAAGCTGTCTATCCCACCATAACTGGCTGTCGAATGTAAAGGTGTAAGATTACGATGAGCAATTGAAAAGCCTACTTGTTCATACACCGCTTCAAAATATTGCCCTTACTGTAGATAGGGTATATGAGTAAAAAAAAACAAAAAAAGAGGAAGGAAAAGAAAACACACACAAAGGGTAGCTACACCCTCCTGGAGATGTGGATTACAAACAGTTTAAGGTTGTTATGTCACAAGTCTTCCCTTGGGCTACACTACTTCTGGTGAGAAGCCATGCTAAATGTTACAGCATATTAATTAGAGCTTCAAAAAGGGTTGAATCCTGGAATAAAAAAAAGAAAGAAAAAAGGGGGAAAAAAGAAAGGCAATGAGTTTCAGAACTATGTTGCATCACTGCTTTTTCACGTCAACCAAACACCGTAGAAGTCCACCCGACCAATTCTGGCTCTCATAATTAAAACCAACCACAGCTTGTGTGTTGATTTGGCATGGGTCAGAAAGTTGCCGAGGAGCTTAAGAATAATATCAACTATGATAATAATAATGCCTCTTTCTACAGTTGAATGACCTGGAACTGTCCGATGGTAGAACAAACTTTACTGCCGAGCATGGGTGATAAAACAAAGAGGAGTCGTCGTCTTCTTACAGTTTTTTTGGGCATTTTCTTTCTTTTTTTTTTTTTTTTTTTTTTCTTATTTATAATATCCATTTTTCATTACATTTCCAACATCTCCCAACAGCAAACCAAACAAGAGTTATGCTACTGGGGGACCCCAACAGTCAGGAACATTAAGATACTATGTACACCTTTATGTCGTGTAGACAAGCGCATCAGCATCGTCAGCTCGGACTAAAATTTGTTGGTTTTTTTTTTTCTTCTTATATTTAGAACTCTTGTCCGCTCCCTCGCCTCTGCAGCCACCTGCTGGCTGCTGTCACACACTTGGACACCCCCAGGCCAGGGAAGAGCACCTCCCCAGGACTGATAGCAGCCATGAGTGGTGAGGTTGGTAAGGGTTGATGGGTTGGTAAGAGGCCTGGCTCTGCCCTGACCTGGGGCCAGAGAGAGAGAAATAAGAGAGAGGCGCCTGATGAGGAGCTCCGTAGACCAAAAATTATGTTGAGGAAGGAGAGCAGGACGATGGAGGCTCGAGGCACAGCAGAGGAAGAAGAGGAGGGGCTGTTACTCCTTAGGTGGGACAGGTGCCGGGGCAGAGGTGGGAGCTGGGGTCACCTCCTCGCCACTCTCCCAGTTCTCTTGTGCTCGCGGGCCTGGACCAGGAGTGGGACCAGGAACTGGGGTGGAGGTTTGGGTTGGACCGGGAGTCGGGGCAGAGGCAGGTCCAGGACGTTGGGGGTTGTTCATGTGCTGAGCAGCAGGACCGGTGTACGGCTGCCCATGAGGATGGTTGTTCTGTGAAAGAGGAGATGGGTGAGAAATGACTACAAAAAATATTTTTTCCGAATACATTAGTATAGAATATTACAACACACTAAAATTCACACATTGATTTCCAATTCAGTGTTTAAACCCAACCTAAAGATGGTGACAGTCCTTGAAATTGCAAAGTACACAAACAAAAATGTTTTTACTGGTATCTGTTTGTTAAAAAAAAATTTAAAAAGGTATCAGGGAACGCTATTACTGACTTGCTGGAACTGAGTGGTTCCAGGAGAGTGTGGGTACAAGGAGGTGTCCTCAGGGGGAGAGGAGTCTTGATCATCAGGTGCCTCCTGTTCATCTGGCTCCTGCAGATGACGGGGGATAAAAGAAAAAAAAAAAAAAAAAAAGGATTTTATTTCCATATTTAAAATGAAAAAAAAAAAAAAAAAGGATTTTATTTTCATATTTAAAATGAAAAAAAAAAAAAAAAAAAAGAAAAAAAAAAGGATTTTATTTCCATATTTAAAATGAAAAAAAAAAAAAAAAAAGGATTTTTTTTTCATTTTTAAAATGAAAAAACAAATGAAAAAACAAACAAAAACAAAACACTGACAATGGATGTATCAGAAATGTCCCTCAATATTTCAACAAGGCAGTGGGTGTAGATCTAAATCCTCTTTATTTCAGTCAGACATGGTTGCGTGGGAGAGTCAAAGGTCTAACTGTGTTTATTCAAGTGATGTGTGGGAAGATTCTACGTCTGAGAGCTGCTGCTTAGATTTCCTTTGACTGTGTTATTACAGAACTAAATAAATCAATGAATAAGTCATGTTAACTGTTGGTGACGTGTTTTAGTTTGATCCTGATTATATAAATATTCTCTAGTCTAGTCAAAGTGCCAAAATGGTACCCAGGAAAGCCCTGTTATTAATCTTTGTTAGAACGTTGTAAAGGCCCAAAGGGTTAACCAATCAGGTCTGAACATGTTACAGTCTCTGCCATGTCTGACCTGGGTGATGATCAAAATTAAGAGAATTTAGTTTCATTCATTTTTTTTATCCTGAATGTCATGGTGCCTGGAATACTGACCTTCCCTGGGCTTCCCTGGGTAAACTTGAGCTGTGTATGAAATATTACAGGAGAAGTGTGTCACTTGACTGGATTTGTCAACATTAAAATACACGTCTTTGAGTTTAATACAAACAAGTAGTTAGAGAACAAATTCTGCTGCAAAGTTCAACATTTCTTGGATTTAGCTTAGGAGATTATCTGTAACACATATTGGTTTGTGGGAAAAAACTAAAATGTGCAAGTTGTGATGAAAAGGCTGCTGCTGCTTCATTATACAGTATTTCTGCAGTCAATGTTCATAAAGACATTTTTCTGTAATGCTAACTTATTCACATTTAGTACGCATCAGACTTCATATTCATACGCCTAGTTGTTTTTCCAATACACTACACAATACTGTATGATCACATCTATTTGAAAATTCTTTAATACTACCTTAATTCTAATGTAATTATCAGATAACTAGTAAAGACGAACAGCTAGGAGGAATTTACAACACTGATGTTAAGTAGACTAAAAATACATCAAACAAATGACACAAATATCTCCTAAATGTGAGCCAACAGAATAAAACAAAATGAAACTCTGATATATGTACATAAATTACAATGTTAATCAAAAATCAAAAAGGATATGTATGTGAACAGACTTACAAACAAATACATAAATCAAAGTCACTTGGTCCTGGGTCTGTGCATGTAATAAAACTGCTTTTCTCTTTCAGGTATAATGTGTTTGTCACGTGTGCTGTAAATACAACATCAGTGCATTTACCTCCTCGGGACAGAGTTCACAGGCCTTGGCCAGCGTCATACGGGCACTGTGTGAGCGCTCTAGGAAATATCCATTGGACGTCTCGTTGCTCTGAACAGGGGGTGACCAGTTGTTGTACGTGTACTGAGGGTTTCCTGTGTAGGGTCTCCTCTCCAGCTCGTCCCCTAACCACTCCACAGCCCATGTCCATTTTCGTTTCAGGTCCCCGTTACTCTGTGAGTATAGTGAAAACACTTTGGTAAGTACAGAGGGAAAATACTGTATGAATAAAAAGGCCAAACTTGGTATATTGCTTTATGGCTGTCATATCCTTATTCATCTGATCATTCACAGAGTAAAAATATGAAAAACAAAATGGCTGTATATTCCCAGAAAAGAAAGACAATTCTCAACATTGATCTATAGGACGTTGGCATTGGCTTGTAGAAATTGTTGCGTTTGCAACAATCAGTGTACAGCCGCAAGCAACTAATTTGACAGGTGTGTCAGTCCATGTGTTACAATGTCTTAAAATTTCAATCTAATTTAAAAAAAGCAAAACAAATTTTTGACAACCCTGTATGGCTCACATGTATGCGACATATCAGGGGACAATACCTGTAGGATCTGATAAGCCACTGAGCAGTTGCTGAACAGTGCCACCATGCACTTGATGCACTGGTAGGCCCTCTTTTGATAGTGGTTTTTGGAGCGCTGGATGGTGTCAAACAGCCCGTCTCTATCGTCAGGAATTCCCTTTAGCACATTGTGGATCCTACACAAACCAAAAAGAGAAAATAATTTAAGACTTACAGCTTGATAAAAAAAAAACTTTTATCAAGCTTTTATCAGATTTGCTCAGGAACATGAGCAGATATTCTGACCTGTGTGTCTGCCACGAGTCCTCAATAAGAAGGATCTGTAGCAGCAGGTCCAGATAAGGCCTTAGCTCATAGGTATAGGAGTATGCCACCTGCAGAAAGCATACTTACAACTAAATATGGACTCTTCAGAGTAACATGTGACTAAAGCAATAACAAAAATAATACCCTGGTGCCTAAACATGAAGTATTTACCTGCCAGAGAAGCTCACTAAGCACAGTGGAGGAGAATTGAGGATTCTCCCAGCAGCTGAAGCGAAGTAGCTTCACTGTCTCCTCTGAGTTGCTGCAGTCTTCAATAATCTTCTTCACATAGCTGGTCCTCACAAACAGGATCTCTGCCACTAGTTGCTGCACAGGCATCACTGGGGCTGTGAGGTTGGGGTCGCCGTAAGGGTTAGGAAGAGGAGGATTACCTGCAGAGAGTAGAAAAGAATACTTTAGGAGACACTAATCTGAGTATGATGATGATGATTGTGTCTCAACTACTGGTCTGTGTAAGCCCTCAGCTCCAAGCTCCCGCGACACAGCGCAGACTCAGAGTGGCAGGTATTGTCAGTCACTACATCCTGAGCAAGGATGAAATCCTCATTGGGCGCTAGCTCTCCTCAAATATGTTCATCTCGTCTTCTAGACTCACCATTGATGGATGACTGCATGCGTGCAGAGACGTCACAGCAGCGGACGAGCTGAGAAACCACAGTGTAGAGCTTTCCCAACTCGGCGTACTGGTACTTAATGGCAGGTCCAGGGCCCTCATCCAGAGCAACCAACATAAATGTGGCAGGGACATTTAGCTTCAGCAACTGCGTCTTCTCTGCCAACCCTATATCATTAAAACATTTAAAGATGACAGAAAGTTGTATATATAAAAAAAAGTATGTATTTCTCTCTTCAAACCACCACACACAAAACAGATGTACGTGACATGCAGGCAATGCCCTCGTGCTCCTTACCAAGGTTGGCATACATGACAAAGAGGTTGAAGTACTGCTGCAGGTGACGGCCGTGTTCAGAAACCTCTCTTCTGAGCAGGTTGAGTACAGCTCTTAATAGACGGTCACTTAGACTGAGGTTGTCACAGCTCTGATGTACAAGGAGAGTAAACAACACATCCAAGTATTTTCATTAATTTTCAGTTTGCTTAATGTAACATTTATCATGTGTATACCAGCCACTTTTTTCTTTAAAAATGGAGGTTTACAATTCCAGTATCCTTTGGCTGTGTTTATTTCTTGTTCTTGTCCTACAATAATGCCAGGCAACAAACTAGAATTGACAAATTTATTCCAACAAGCATCTTTACTCTCCATCTCAAGTGCAAGGAAAATATTTTGAAAGCGTGCTGCGCTAATGCTAGCCATGCTATGCCATTTATCTGGACGTTTGTCAGATGTTGAAGCACCATCCCAATTAAAATAATAAGTCCAGCTGGTGGTTGAAGTTGTTTTTCTATCAATAATGACATACATAGTTTTTAAAGATCTCTAGTTTCACATATCTGTATGAAACAGGCTAAACATCTCAATAACTACGTAATGGACCCTTCTCGACCAAACCATGAAGCTTTATAAGGAGCAGTAATATGAACATGGGGAGTCAGACACCAACCTGAGTTGAGGGTCCAGGCGAGGTGGTGGGGGAAGGGCAGGGCCCGTCTTGCAGTGAGAAGTGAGCGATGAAGACAATGAGCTTGGCGAACGCCCCACGGACCTCAGCACTCGGGCACTCTAGCAAGTACTCCGAGAAACGGTTGGGGTAAGCAAATAGGACGTTGTGTGCAAACCAAAAGCGTACATTCTTGCTGTGTCTCAGCAGGATACAGAGGGCATCGTACCTACAGGGAAGGACAGATTATGTGATGTAAAATGAAAAAAAAAAAACAAGAACAGAAAGAGAAGCAAAGGATCCAGGAGAGGAAGAGAAATCTTACCAGTCACTGGCAGGACCCCGTACTACTTTCTTGGTGTGGAAACCTGTGCTGAAGAGGAACCTAGCAGCCAGCTGAGCACTTATCATAGCAATCTCCTCTGCCTCAGGCAGAAGATGTTCTTGTCCTTTTGAAAAAGAGAAATATTAAAGTAGACATTGTCTAAGGAAAGTCTTTACAATGACTGCACTTCATTGCCTATAATCAACATTACTATGGTTTAAAACTAAACTCAAGTTTGATAATCTACAACTAGTTCAAATTTCCACACGAAAGAAGGAAAAGGATGAGGTAAGCTAAGATGGGCAATCTTTTTTTTTCAGAAAAAAAAAATACTTCATGTGAAAACATGCAACAAAATATGCACTAAAAACATCTATTCAACTCCATTAAATTATAAAAAAAACAAAACAACTAAGACAAACAAAACATAACAGCTCATAATGACACAGCAGGATGTGTCAAAGTAAAGACAAGAGACAGCACAGACATACACCCAGGGCATCGTACTGAATCAGCATGTTAGGTCAGTCAAGGTAATAGAAAACGCATGAAGTTTAAATGTTTGGCAGCCATAAGAACTCATTAGTGCTTTTTCTTTTTAACACTACAGTAAATCTCTTCAACTGATGCTGATGTTCCCATAAGTTAAAACTGTTAAAAGTTAAAACTGCTTTACCTGTAAGACTTGAAACAGTTGCAATTTTTTAGGGAGCTTAACTCCACTTTTGTTCCATATCTGGGTTATCCTATAGGCAATTTATTCTATTATTTTTGCTACTTTATTTTATAGATAAAGAACATGTTATAAAGATGTGATTCAAACTGTGTGTGTTCACATTTCATTGTATCATAGTCGGACTAAACCATTTGTTGTGAACTATTTCAGACACTATGTTTTAAGGTTCACCTTGGGGCATTTCTAAAACAATCAGGAGTGTATCAAGTACCTGTTCATTTAAAACCCCAGCCCACACCAAAATGATGCCTACCTGGAGGGGGGTTTAAATAGACACTGTTACAGGTCAGAAGTTTCTTAATGAACTGGAAATATTCCAGGCTGTATTGCATTCTGTTGTGCATGAACTGGACGTTCTGCTTTCGGACGCTGCACTCGATGACGCTGGGCATCTTGACCTGATTTGGTTTGTTAGAGATGGTCAGCTCAGAGATGTATTTGACAAGCTCGCTGTCCTTGTCCAGTGAGTCCATTCGCTCATAGAAAAGGATGTAGGCATTCCACCAACGCTTTTGCCTCCTGTACGACATCCTCTTCATCATGTGGTCAAACACCTCGCCCATGTACTCCCCTCCAAAGCACTGATTCTTCATTTCCTCTTCATCATCCATTTTGCATTCAGTCACGTCGCCGTCATCAAATTTATACCAGCGGTTCTTTTCTCCGTCACCCCCGTTTCTCTGGATGATGTAGGAGTAGTAGTGTCCGCCGCTGGCCTGGCCTGAGTGGACCAGCACTCCTACCAGACGGTACTTAGAGCTGCCTGGAGGTGTGGGTTCAGAGGGCTCGTTCTGCTGGATCACCTGGTTCTCCGGATTGACGTCGTCACCCTCCAACTTGGCCACACCAGCTACAGTGTATGGCTCCATGTCCAGCTCCCTGGGGAATTCAAAGTAGTCATTGAACTTGATGGCACACTCCCGCTCCCAGTCGTAGTCGAAGCGTTTCAGCTGGATGGCCAAGACTGGTGGCAACTTCTTGATCAGAAGCCGCTTCACTGTGTCCACCTGGCAAAATCAAAAAAATATTTGATTACCACTGAATTTACCAAAAATGTCTTCTTAGGGCTACCACACATATACGTCATACTTACTTTCTTATTACATTTCTCACAGTGATAGGCGTTTGCTCCCTCCAGCAGATCTCCTTTAACATATTGCTCCATGGAGTCCAGCAGGTTCTGGTGGTTTCTGATGTCTACATTCAATGTAGTGAATGACTCCTCACATTCATACCTGCAACAGAAATGTTATTTAAATAAAAACAAAATTGACATTTTTTAAAAGAATCAAATTAATTCACTCTATATCCACTCACCTGTGGGGACATCCTTGACAGATTTTTTGGTCGGCAAAAGATCCTCCAAGGACTTTACTGAGCATTGCAGGGTGGCCAAGAGCTTTCAGGGCTTCATCCAGACTATCCACCAAAGAGTTGAAGAATTCCAGAGCATCATGCTGCTCCCGCAGGTTCACAGGTTCACCCCACAACCTGCAAGGGTCCGAAACATGAATTTAAATCTTTCTTTTGATTAAAAGAAAAACAGAAAATCACATGACAGCATGATGTGGAACATACCGGAACTGCTTCCAGAATCCTCTGGGAACATAGTACTGCAGTCTGGATGACGCTAAATGGCCAAAGATGACCTGCAGGTGGCGTAGAACCCCAATATTGTACTCTTTCCTGTCCTCTGACTTGCTGGAAGGCTTGTCATCGAACTGATGGTGATAGCTGAACACCTCATCACGAGGATCTACGTTACTCTGAGAAAATGTGATGATGAAAAAATGAAATAACATCTCACAATATGGACAGGTTTTAATAATTTTTTTACTCATGTCATTAAATTGTCATCTTTAAAGTTATCCTTTGCCCTCTACACGGCTTACGAGTCTGGAGGTTGCAACTTTGCCAGTCACTAAACTGAGAAATGGTGAACAAACTCTATTGAGTAAAATAATTATTCCAGCAAAGTAGATACCAATACAGACAAACAGAATGATACCTCATTCTCCTGCTTCTCATCCCCTGACATGTCATCATCCACATCAGTGCCTGTGCCCTCAATGGCCAGAATGCCATTACGAATGGGAGGGATCATGTACAACTGCTGGATGACAGAGTTCATATAACAGGTAGCACCGGCATTCTTCAGGCCAACAAAGCCCTTGTTGGGCCGCGGTCCCACTGGAGGCAAATACTCCCACTCTGTCAACGTTTCACAACCTAGACAGGCCAAAGAATAGAACATTTACACTAACAAATGATTCGCAGATTTGACAATGCAATTAAAATGTTAAACAGGCCAAACTGCTATCTCCATACCCAAGTAGTACATGTCAGTTAACGTGTCCACTATTTGTTTGAGATTGCGAACACAACCCACTGCCAGCGCCACCAGGAGCTCAAAGCCAGCGTTGATGGAAGCAGGAGTACTGCACACTGGGATGGCCTGCTCTGTGGGAAACTCCCCACTCTTCATGTACTGCAAGTAAACATTGGATGCTGGGAAAATGAAATCGTCAATCAGCTCCTAAAAGAAAATAAGAGAAAAAATACTTTGTTATTTCAAAGACGAAACTTTTTTTTTTTTTTTTTTGTATATGGTATAACTCATGTACCTTAATGAGATTTGCGCCTCCCTTCTCACAGCCAATGTAATATTTCTTCTCTGGTGTCTGAAAGGCCAGAAGTTCTTTGGTGACACCAAGGTGTCCCTCCAGAATGGTCTCCTCAACGCCAGTCTCACCCGTCCTCTTTACCTCATCCTAGGAGATATACATCTGTACTATTAAGCACACACAGGAAATGACAGAGAAAAAAAAACCCCAAAGTCATTCTTAATTAGAACTTTTACCCTTATCCGTTTTAGCCAGTCAATCTCATTGTTAAGCAGCACTTCAGCATTTGGCAGGTTGATGTTGCTGTTGTAGGCGTAGTTCAGCAGATGCCTGAGTAAAGTGAAGTAATCCCCTGCATATTTGGCTCGTTCCTTGGCTGTACTCTGGAAAAAGGCAACATAGAACAGACACTTGTCAATAGGATGGTTTTGGTTTTGGCAGAGCGTTGCCTTTATTTTCTTACAACATTCTGTGCATAGTTTTCCAGGTCAGATATTTTGCTTTTTTCATATTACAACAATGCCCTCCTTTTTTCTCCAGCTTTCTATATCAGTGTATAGGAAGCACTGCACTCACCCCTAGCACAGTAAAGAGGAGGGTGATGAAAAAGAGCAGAGGTCGATGACCCATGCAACACCTAGTTGCCATCAAGAAGAACTGCTCCTGTGCCATCTGACGGACAGATCTGTCAAAGCACAATTTAAAGTCAACATAATTTACCTAAAATGGCATTTAAAATAAACATTATGATGTTGTCTTCACCATGTCAGTTACATTATCAATGGTTATAAAATCTGTTTTAAAATTAAATACATCTACATACTTGCTATGGCAGTGTAGCAGCAGGTCTATGATGAAGGTCTGCCAGGCTTTCTCTTTACTCAGTGTGTCCAAAGCCGTGGGCATAAGAGCAAAACATAACGTCATAACTTCCAGGGCTTCGCAACAAACTTGCTCATCTTCCCCATCTGGCTCCTTTGCCGCATTTGTCTAATGAGAAAGGAAAACATCCAACTTATGAATAAAATACTGTGCTTTAAGTAAACAAAGATGAACAATTGAGTTTTACTATCTTTCTTCTAAGGTTTACACACTTCTAATGTATTTGTCCAACTTATTTAATTGGCAAACCTCTTCTAAATAAACCCCAGAAGTAAAACAAACACGTTACCTTTTCATAGATCTTGCTGATTTCTTCATTGGAGCTGAATACCAGTTGCACGGTACCACAACCAGAAGCCCATACTATTTTCTGTACGGCTCGAATCACGCATATATCAGGAAGGTACTTTGATGCCTGAAAGAAATTCTTAAAAAAAAAAAAAAAAAGTGGCTTTAGGCAAAATATTTAATCCAAACTTAGTAACAAAGATCGAATTGACAGGTTGTCATTTCAATTTTTCTGTGCCACTGGTTGAGTTTATTTACATTTTTTGTTACCTCATCAGAGATCTGCTGAGCCAGGCGAATAGCTACATTACGCAACATGCACTCAGAGGCGGGGTTGGGGATGTTTTGCAGGGCACTCTGGAGGACCAAAGCCTGATCATGAGTGGCCTGGTTAATCTGTGGACATGAGAGTGTACATATAGGTAATGACATGCCAGCATTCCGGCACCCAAATGTGAGGGGACTTGTTATTCAAGTATGTCCATGAACAACTGCTGTGTGTAGACAAACCGGAGAGACAGGAATGTTTCCCTCAGCGTTGGGTTGACAGGCCTCTGCCACAGCCTTAACATGTCCGAAGCCCACAGAAGTCAGGAGGAGCTTGGCGATTTTCAGCGCGTTGAGATAAGCTCCACGCCTCGTCTCCATATCTGCTGTCGGAAGAAAGTTGTTCCTGGTGAGCATGCTCAAAACTAGAGGCAGCCCACCACTCTTAAGGAAGTTGTACTGGAAATCACTGGCATCTTCGCCCAGAGTGGCACTGGCTGGCATCAGCAAAGCATATACAACCTGGAGAACCAACAAAAATCATGTAAAACATCTTAAACATTTTAATGGAAAATGGTGGTTTGCTTCTGACATTACGATCAAAAAGACAATGTTAAAGATAAGCAATCTCTCACCTCAATGAGGTAGAGCACTTGTGAAGGTGATGGGCCGAAGAAGCGAGAGTCCAGCGAAGGACTAAGGCTGTTCTCTCCAAGTTTAGCATGGTCCAGACACACAGCCCTCAGATTCTCTACTGTAGTGTTATCTGAAAACAAAGACAAATTAGTTGTTACTTTTGCCAGTGTGTGTGCAAGAAATAATTTACATTTCTCTGAAGTTAGAAAGGTAAACAAAAAGATGCGGCTGATCATATCTACCTGGAGGCATGAGCTTCATAAGAACTCGAGCTCCGTCTCTTAGTAGAGGCATGTTGAGGTTGCAGCCAAGGTCAGCCACCTGCCACAGGAAGGAGATGTAGCGCAGGTGCAGTGACATGATCTGTAAAAAAAAATGCAAAAGAGTCAGAAGTCCTGAGGCCGTTCCTTTCAGTGATAGATGTCACTTTTAAAATCATTTTTAATTTCTACACCCTTGGCCATCTATTAACCTGTCTAACAGAAATAAATAGTTGGGCAATAGACTCACCACACCAGGAAGACAGCTCTCCACCTCAGGGTTAGGCCCATCGCTATAGTGGTTTCCGTGGTTACCAGGGGAGCCAGTGGATGAGTCAGAGGAGCTGTCAGGGCTTGAGGGCATGTTGGCACTCACTTGTGTGAGCTTGGCTGTAATCAGCTGTTAAAAAAGATTTAAGTTAGAGTTAATGGGAAAAGAACTAGACACTGTGTACATGACCTTATTGGTACTTTATGCAAGCGTCAAATGATTGGTTTTGATGAGGACAGACAGGTTGGTGAACAACAAAGAGAATTACATATTTGTAAAAAACAGAAAAATCTCACCGTCTTGTCCTTCAAATTAAGCTGCCCAATCAGCTTTCTGTCATCAGCAGGATCAACAACCTCTCCACCAATGAAGAGCTCTATCTTAGTATGTGCAGCATTCGCTTTGATCCTGTTTAGAATACCCCGCCGAACTGAGCCAATTGTGTCATTGGTATGTGACCAGATATCCAGGTCATCCACCTGACGACCCTGGTTGGGGAACCGGACGATCAATGTGATGTGTTTACCACGGAAAGCCCTGCAGCAGAAATAAAGACAGTGGATGGAAAAATGTTAGCCCAAAGATTTTGTTCATATTCAATGGATGCTTAAAATCAAGAATTACTGATGCCCATGTTTCATGGTGTTTATCTCATCACCTGGACATTGGCAGTATAGTCCTCTCTTCATGGTAGTCGCTGTCACACTCATTAATATACTCCTTGAGCACTGTGAGAACTCGCACCATGCGGATGGCCTCCTGCCGGGCGCAGTTGATGCTGTCCTTGTCTCCGTCCAACACGCACAGTGTGTCATAGGATGCCTTCAGACGGTCAAAACATGACTGGATGAAATCTTCATGAATTTCAACCTAAAAAGGTAAAAAGACAAAAACACATTATTAGACTGTGTTATTGCAGCAAAGAGACGACTTGAAATTATTGAATGGAAGACCTGACCTGATTGACTTGCAGTTTTGGTCCGAGGTTGGTATAGATCTCTTTCAGCAGGTCTATTGCACGGTTGGCAATGTCATCATTTCCTTGAATTACCACCTATTTAAAGGCAAATATGTGTTATAATGAGACAGCAACAGATCAGAACTTTTTGGTGTTAGAGATATCAAATTTCACTCAAGATTTTAAAAATGTAATATTTATAGGTGTAATCATTGTAGAAGTATGAGAACATTCTATGACAAATCTTAAATAATTTGAGACACTATCTGAATGCTGAATATTATCTGTTTTTTACAGAACAGATAATAAGACAATGACCATACAACTAAAAACAAATGCAGGGCCAAAAAGTTCCAGGACCAGTAAAAATAATATATTTTTTTAAGAAAATAAAGCTCTTTCTCCTTCCACTCTCCATGTAAATCTGTGCAGGTTTTTGAAAAGCAATGTTTTAGGGGATTTTTTTTTGCACTAGGTCACAACCCCTTTTTTTACAGTCCTTTTACATTTGTGAAAAAAAAATGTATTTTTTAAATTGTTGATTTTTGAAGGATGAAAACCTAGATCAAATACAAAGTCCAATGCTTGACAAACATCATACAATTATGTTTTTGTTTTTAAAATTGTTTAAAATCTTAGCAGCTTTTAATTGTCTTAGTTTTAAATTACCTTGTCTAACTTCTCCAGAATCCACATTAAATTCACCAAACCTTCAGAAATAACCAACTGACCGTCAGTTAAACAGATTTTACTGACCTTGAGGTTGTAGGAGACTCACATCACTTTTATAAATGGGCTCTACATTTGTCTCAATCCACAAACAAGAAAAAACATTTGTTTCTGTGCTCCAGCTGCAAAAAAAATCTTCTCACCCTCCAGAGGTAGTCCAAGCCAATTAGTTCCAGGTCATCCATCATGTAGGCCCGGCGCTTTGCAACCAGCTTGCCCTCCCTGCAGTTGACTGCCTTGAAAAACCTCTCAAAGCACTTCATTCCATTCTCTGTCAGCAGAGATGGGTCCAACTGCAACACATTGTTCTCAAAGAAGTCCTTATTGATGTCCGGATCCAGGTCTGGCTCGTCCCCCATGAGTTTTGAGTACCTAATGAGGTGATGGGAAAGCAGTGCAGCATTCGGTAAATAACATGCATGCTACACAAAGTAAGCTAATTAATACTGGACCAAGGCAAGATAATTAAATTAACTTTACCATTTGAAACATGCCTCACGGTCACAGAGAAACACAGCATTCTCGGCCAGGCACTTCCAGATCTGCTTGGCCTGAGGGGCACAGAGCCACAACTGACCATCTTTTAGAAGAAACCTAAAAAAAAAAAAAAAAGAACAATCATGGTATAGAGTTTAGAGGAACATATCAATAACGAGCAAGAAGTAAGCCACAAACTTGTATCAAGCACAAATATAGGAGACAAATATAAAAAAATTCCTTGACTCTTTTATGGAACCATTTGCAAGTGTAAGGTTGTTTTAAATTAAATTTTACCTCAGGAAGTTGAGCCGTTCCTGTACTTCCTGAACATGGCTGTACCGGCTTCCTGGTCTGACTGTCTGGGGGTCAAACTCTGCTTGTTCCTCTGAAAAACCACAAATATAAAAAGTTACTATGGAAACATATGGTTTAATTTGAATACATTTGAGAATACACATTTACAGAAGAATTTTACAGATACAGATACATTTCTATCTGCATTTACCTACGAGGCCCATCAACACTTGTGGAAAAAGATGAGGCTCTCATTATTACCTGACAACACAATGACAATGTCCTGTAGTCTTCCTCTAGCGTTATTCATGTCATTAGTACTTAGTGTTGCAAACTTTGAACAACTTGGAACTTTGCTCAATATTTTACTGTAGGTGGGGATGAAGTGAGAAGACACTGGAGACATTTTGACCACAAGTTCACTAGAGGAATTGTTTTTTTAAAGTACAACTTGCTACCAGAAAGTACTGTTGTCAGCAGTCAAACTAAATCAGAACAAAACAGTCAAATTCTGATACAAATATTCTGTCAGCTTGGCTTCACATACATTAGAATTTCTCCATATTGGTGTTTTACTGGTGCTGTAAAATGTCTAACTTAGCACACAGGTTAAAATAGATAGCAAAAACTGCACAAGTACCTTTGGAGAACTGCCTCATGGTCTCCATGTAGGCGGAGAGGTTCTCAGCCACCAGTGTCACCAGAGCATGGTTATGCTGCAGCTGGTTGATCAGGTCATGTCGATAAAAGACGTGAGGGCTTCTCTGGGTTTGACTGAAAACAAACAGCAGGAGCAATTGTTGCAATGCAAACAGAGAACTAAAAAAAAAGTGAAAGCGAATTTGACATTATATTTACTCAACCTGTGATTGAGGAAACATAGCATGGCTGATTTATCATTTGTTGCCGTCAGAGAGACACGAACAAAGCAGCTTTTCAGTGTTTTTTCTGTGTACCGTTTCAGGCACATCATAGAACAACCAGCACAAGAAGCTAAATTGAAGAAAGGACATTTCCCGCCTTGTTTCCACACAATAGCTGTTCTCAACAACTTTAAACTGCATTACGCACTCGTTTAATATTAATATTGAAAAAAAAAACCAAACATCTGGGTGGCTGACGGGCAGGAGGAGCACATTGTCACTGTGATTTGCTGCACAGAACGACCAGTATGATGGAATTGTTCAGTCAGGGCAGAAGGTTTGAGGCCCCGTCACTGGGAGGCTAAAAAACAAATTTAAACCCATACTCGAATTTTATTATAATAAAAAATAAATAAAAAAAACACAATGATAAATGTCCCAAGATATCAATAAAGTAATAAAGGAGCTTGTACTTAACTTGGAATATTTGAGACAAAAACAGTATAAAAAGGGGAGCATGATGTTCATGTGTACATCCACGTAAAACATTTGTGCAATACAGTAAACTGGTGTGTAAATAAGTGGGTCAAAGGCATGAAATACCCATGATATTGACTTTTAGGAATTTAGGCTGAAAGGAGCGGACATTGAAATTAGGGACTTCATCTCAAAGGACAGTTCAGTTAATTGCATAGCCAACTTAATTGTCATTTTGTTTTATATAGCTTATTTCTATTTTCAAGTAGTTTTTAATTTATAGTGTCATGGCTGGTCTCCTGCCTTATTAGCTCCATAGATGGAGGACTTACAGCAGGCCCTTGATTGAAGAACTAGTCATTAGAGATGAAACCCAAAAAGAATTGCTTAAGCACATTCAGTGTCAGGATTTTTACCCTTTAAAAACAGTGTGATATACATTATAGATATGGCAAAGGAGAAGGTTGAGACTTGACGCAGCACAGAAGTAGACAGAACCCTGGAAATTAGCTCTCAACTTACCCCATTAAGTTTGCATGTATGTAAATTGGCATTTTCTTTCTGAAAAACAGGCATGTAAACTAGATGTTTTCTACGGTGAATAGAAAGTGCTGCTCATAACATGCAAAGACTAAAGTTAACATTGTAGTTAAGGCCCTGCTACCTGACCATTGAAATTTTAGGTAGTGCATATAACCAAAACCAACTGTCAACTTTTTTTTTAAATATTCAGGCAAAATTTAAAACATATTGATGTTATATTTGTCTGTTATAGTCAGAAACAGAAGTTGTACTTTTTTGCTGTGCATTTACTTTGTTATATTAGGCAGACATCAAGGGGTTTCACTAAGACAATAGAATACCTATGTACACGATTCAATCAGTACAATTAGTCATGTTTCAATAATACATTTTTATCCAACATAAACACAAACTCTTAGCTAAAACGTTAAATCTTTACTTTCTCGTCGATGTCTTACCTTAGATTTTGGGGAGCTTCTCCAAAGAGACTACAAATTTCTCTGATTTGCTTTAGAGCTGGAATCACCCATTTGTCATTGGTTCGAAGCTCCTCTATGAAACGATCAATCCACTGGATTTTCTGTGTGTCTCTGTCCTGTGAATAAAATATAAAAAATCAACTATAGCTGTCAAAGGCATTGGTCGATTCATTCTCAAGTTTCTGTTTATAAATCTAATCCCACTCCCACATTTACCTGAGAGCAACTATAATCCAGTATCTTAATGTGGGCACTAAGAGCCTGGTCCATAATATCTACAGGCACATCATCACTGTGTGCCAGGTTCCACAACAGGTTGAGGACCTTGTGAGCCATCACGCCATCCTTATCATCCTCAGCCAACCGCCGGATTAGCTCCAACAGTTTTTCACGCTGTTTCTTGCTGGCATTGGTCCAGCTCGCCTGCAAAGATTAGAGAACAAAATTTCACAGATGTTACAAAGCAACTGCAGTGTTGTCAAAGGAAAACTTTTACAAAATATTTCTATTATCAGTGTGTTACCTTGAAGCAGTCAAAAAGGTGATCGAGTTGCTCAGGAGAGAAGTCCCACGCCAACTTCGCAAGGAGATCATGGACATTTTTCACAATAGCTTCATGTTTACCAGCCTGCAGGTAAACATAACAAAACCACTTTTTAGGTAACTAAATATTAATGGGGTACATCTTATCTTATGTGTACATTTCTATTAAAGTTTCATATACTTTTGGTCAAGTTTAAGCATTGCATTATATGATACAACTCAATGCACACTCAAAATAGTAATTTTAGCCCACAGTCTCCTCAAACTCCTGTTATCATACTCAGCAGAATCATTAGCATATAACCTATAAAGAGCTAACTGGAGCTAAATGCAGTGTCTCCTCTTTGTAATAAAACACAATTATTAAGTTACTTAAAACAAGCTGAGCTGAAGTAGCTGAGGACACAGGAGAGGCAGCAAGCATCGGGCTAAAAACAGTAGCAGGGTGGATATTTAACAGGTTGGATAGTTCAGCGGGAGTTTGAAAAGTGCAAAAGGTTCCCAGTAAACAAAATCAGTAAAATGTCAATAAGTGACAAAACCAGAAAGTTGTAGCCTTAATTTCTGAACTTGGTACATCTGATTACCACAAACGGATATAACATACCACAATTGTTTTTTAGGCGACAGGTCCCCAATCAAAAAGGCAACAGTTTATGAATTTACTAAAATCCTTCAAAAAATAAATTTGTTAGAAATCCCGTAATTGTCTTGTTAACGGCAGAGTACCTGTGCAGCCCAGATGTTATCCAGATCCTGCATTGTAAGAGCTTTTTCTTTAATGACGAAGCGAAGGATCTTCTCCAGTTTCTCGACATACTGCGGCTGGTGCAAACTGTCTCTGAGCACAATGGACAGGATGTGGTTCTGCTGGATCCACTCCTGAAGTAGTTCAATGCAACAAGGAAATGTTGAGAGATGGGAGAAAAAAAAAACAAAAACATTCTTTCCTTTCAATCACAAAAAGGTACATGGCTGTGGTGAGTTTACCGCCATGCGCTCTGCAGTCAGCCATTCCTCCTCTTCAGGGTTATGCCGGTGAGTGTAATAGGACACACTGGATATCACCTTGTTTACTTCATTTAGTGCATTCATTTTCCCATTAAAAGAAGAAATTTGTAATAACCTGGTGATAAAGAATAGTTAACAATAAATACACGTATATAATACCAATATAAATATATATATATATATATAAAGATTATTTCTACTCACCTAAGAATCATTTTTAACCTAAAAATCTCTAAATTCTTCACTGTTTCCTCCTGCCCTGGAACACGTGAAGCCAGATTCTTCAGAGACTTGATTATCATGGACAGTGCGTCGTTTTTGGCTTCATTCTTGGCCTCTTTCTTGAGCTCCTCGTCTGTTAGATTCTCTAGAAACTGGGGAACCATCTCAATGACTGGAAGAAAGTACTTCTTTACCGTGTGCAATGTGAGGAACTCGTAACACTGGCCAAAAGGCCTGTAAAGAAAAAGAAAACAGAAAAATCAGCCAATGTGTACTTGAAATATGACCACTGCACAGAGTACTGACAAGGAATTCAAAATCTTTGGGAAAGCCTGGTGAAGATGGGTTAAAAAGAAGACACCACAAATCTCACTTGATAAGTGCAGCGATGATCTGGACATTCAGTGCTTCGCCACTCATGAAGCGATCGTGCAAAATTTGAAACCCGTTTAACGTGCCAAATTTATTTATTAAGTCCACCAGCCAGCCCTGGGAAGAGGGAAGAACAAGAGGTACAAATGAGAATGGGTTTTACAAAATCAGATTAAAGGCTAGAACACAGAGGGGAAAAAAAACCTTCTAGGTCACAAAGTAACTGAGAAAAAGAAGGTGACAACAACAATGCGAGCATCTGTCTTAATTGCTGCACAGTGGAACCCTCAGTTGTCCTGGCCCTCCTGCCAACAGAGGCAGACAGGCGAGTGGAGCACTGTTCAAACTGACACAGTGCCTACACTATAGCCATCAATCTTTCACAAGAAAATTCTTACTCCCTGGTATTTCCAACTTCAACTTTCTGAAACAAGCATCAAGTGTCTTATGAGCAGTGAGTTCCATGTTTTATTACCAGCATACTTCTAAAAAGTTGTTTAAAGTCAAAACGACCCTGGGAAAAAACAACAACTATGAGCTATTCAGTGGAGTTTGACTACATAAATGTAAGACATTATGAATGATCTCCAGAGGAAGAAAACACTGCTTTGTAGGCCTTGTCCTGACGATGTGATCAAAGAAGAATAGCAGTTCTTGTTTGCTTTTTATAAATGTTAAAAACCCCACCCCACAAAAGCCATTAAAAAGGAAATTGTGTGAGAAGATGAGATGGTAATTTTTCAACAGATCTTTTACCTTAGGGGAACGTGGGTCTGGTGGTCGGGCAAAGAGCTCGTCGTCAGCCAGCTGGGCTCCGGCAGGGACTGTCTCCGAGGGTCGTGTGCCGTTGTAGATGTGGAACTTGCAGTGAGGGTTTGTGGCCATGGCAAGAAGCTCTAGTAGAGGGAACCAGTCCTGAGAGAGCTTGGCCACACACAACTCAACCAACCGGTGTGTGTTATTGATGATACACCTCTGTAGGGCAGAAGTGTGTAGAGAAAAGAGTAAGAAAACAGTATAAAAGAAAGAAATTTGGCAAGATGGTATATCATTTTAATTTCTTATACTTATCACAAATTATAACATGTCCTCTAACTTTTATTCATGTCTCTGCAACTTTTTGAAGTTTGTATTCAGAGTGCTACCTCATATCATCTTCAGTTGTTTTGGTAGTTTTTGACATTTAGCAGTTTTGTTCTACTTTATGCATAATTCTTAACTAACCTTTATCTTGTTCGACTGTTTTTTGTCTTTCAATTGTCTTTTAACCTTTGCTAGCAAAACACAAGCTGACAAAACAGTAGTACAACTATCATGGTAACCTATGTTAACTGGTAACACTAGATACAAGTCAAGTCAGATCAAGTTACTCATCTGGTAAGTGGACAGTGTCAACAGATGCTGGTGGGTCATGTCACAGTAGATCATTTCACAGAACACATTAGATTTCAGATCTAATTAATAATTTAAAATATATATCAATTCAAATAGTGGTAAACAAACACCATTACAATCAGTATTAGCTGTAGCTGCTCTTATTGCATACTTTAACCGGTTTCCAGGACTGAATTTACCAGATGACTAATAAAGAAGACTGACTCAGATTTCCAGTAGAGCAAAATAAAACACAAAAGAATATTGCGCATGGGAAAGACATGTGTAAAGATCTGATTCATTTTTTCTAATTTGAAGCAACGGCAGCAGAAAGAAGAATACATCTTCTGTTCTCTTTTCCTAATGGTTTATTAGAAAACTATCCACAGATCAATTAGTCGCTACTGGTTGCTTCTAACAAACTGATGACAGATCACAAAACAAGAAAGAAGAAAACTCAATTATTAAGCAAGATTTAAGTGGGAATGTATGTGTTGGCTAGATAAGCAGAGTCAAATCAAAAACAAGCCAGGAATGGTCAGAGTAGACACAGGACTCTTGTTGGAACAGAAAAAGGGAACAAATTCCACATGGCTCTCTATGTCCAAAATTGAGCTTTTTCCGCTGTTATCCTTGTTTTTCATATTTATCTTTTATGGCACAAAATGCTTGGTCTTTTTTCTATTCGGAAAAAAACCCAAGACTTACATGAATCTCAAATTTCCAACCACTAACTGCCTCATCTGTCAGGATCTTTGTGAAGGAGATGGTCAGCCCGTCCCGGAAGAACCTCTGACATGCCTCGCATTTCACATCCAGTCCTGCAGAAAATAAACCAAACATTTAACTGCACTTTATACCATTTGACCAAATGCTGCACTGTAAAATAACAGACACACGTATGGGCATATCCATATAGCACCATTCAAAGATAGCCATGTACCGAGATGAAGGAGACTGCTAAGAGATTTAGTTCATTTTATGCAAAGATGGTAAGAGCGCAATATATTTTGCAAATTACTTATTTTCTGACTTTAATTACAGATTTAAAAAGATAATGCATGATAAGAGCAAAGCCTTGGTGATATGTAAGCAATCGTTTTGCTCATCCTAGAGTTCTATTTGGAGCAATATAGATAGATAGACCCATGTGATTATATCTGACTGAGAATATCGCACCAGTTAATCACAAGACAGCAACAAAAGACATGGCAGCATATTAAGGTCTGTAGACCTTAGCTGCTATCCTCCAAACCAAAATTAGACCAAGGATGGAAGAAGAAAGGTGATTTAAGTGTCTCTGATGGTGCCATGGTTGTTGGTGCCAAAATGGACAGTCTGACCATTTCAAAAACTGCTGATCTCATCAGTTTTCCACAGATAACCATCTCTCTCTTTTATGGAGCACTTACAGAGAATGGACCTTAAAAGAGAAAATATACAGTGAGTGGCAGTTCCCTGGGTGAATAATGCCTGTTGATGCCACCACTAGGTCAAAAAAGAAAGTCCAGGCTAGTGGTAGTTGAATGAGATCAGTGTTCCCATACAGATTTTTAAACGCATTTTTTCTATTAACTAGGATTTACAGGTGTATACTGTACTACAGCAACAAGTGCTGGCAGCATTACTTTCAAAATGTATTCCCCTTTGTTTGGGAATCTAGATCAAGCAAAATGAATGATAACAGGCGCTCCTGCCAAAATTGCAACTATATGGAGGTGAATTTGGATTGTAATCTCACTTGTAAACTTTACTCTGTTGAAGTTGGCTTTGAAAACGTGTAACGTTGCTGTTAAGTCAGGCCCATTTAGGATGACAATGCAAGACATGACCGTCAATAATCCTTTTTAAAAACATTTTTGTTTGCCGTAGACTGGCAAACCATTCCATTGTTTTCCGTTGATAAGGAAAATGCTGGGCATCGTGACAGTTCCTTTACCAAACTTCGCAGAGTCAAATTTAAATTCTAAAACAAAATGTTAAACAGACGTGTACCTTTTTTACTCAGATCTATAGCAGCTTCCAAGAGGACTTCTAACTCTCCTTTTGGCAAAACTGGAACAACCCAACGGGGCCTGCAAGAAAAAAAAAGTTATTAATTTATTCACTTTGCTTTAACAAAGCAAAGTAAACAAGCATAGGAGAAAAAAATGCATTTACAATTTACCATTGAAAAACCAAATTATTACAATTGAAGGAAAAAATGCATGCTACTGCTGAATACTGAAAATGTCATTATACCTAATACAACTGCCAAAACATCACAGGTAAAAAGCTTACTCAGAATGACCTAGGAATACAAAACACAAATTGGTTTATGCTTTTACATGGATGAAGCCATCCATCATCCCGGAGTAACGACGTACTGCTCCAAAATGCAGAAAAATGTCATCTGAGGCTATTGTAGGAAGATCTGAATGCAACATAGCAGTTCTTCATGAACATAGCCTTTTACCTTGAGTATAGCTGTCTAGGTATTTACAAGGATGAATCAAATATTCTAAAACAAAGTCAACAAAATAATCATAAAATTTACAAAGCGATTTCGCTACACATCCTTTATTTATGTCTATCTAAAACACTGGGAATTTTGTTTGATCCAGGTCACAACCTGCCTGTTTACCTCATCTAAAACTGAAAATGAGTGCCTTCACAAATGTTTTTCAAGTTTTAGTAATAGAAAGAAATAGCACTTGGAACTAAATCAAAACCTGTTGCAAAGCTTGAATAATAAGAAAAAGAAGTTTCTATCAAATTGTGGCTCAAAGCTCATTGTTTGTTCTGATTTAAAAGTGATTTATTTATCAAGATTGGACATGCGGCTTCATCACAGGAATAGCGTGGCAACGCCAAAATACCTGTTGATCATGTCGTCCAGTTTGGCTAGGTCAGTGTGAGGAAAAGCAGGCTCCTCCTCTTCCAGCTGAGGGGTCCCGTCCCCCTGACCTGGCTCATCTGGTGGGCTTACTGGAGAGTTTTCGTTAGATGAGTTAGGGGATGATGTCTGTAAAAAAATCAAGGGAGGGGGGTTAGAAAAATTAACTGGATCATGACTTATCTGGCTTAATTCAACAGTAAATACAACAGTCATCACCAAATATGTTAATATTTACTGCTGAAGCTGAAAGGGCTACAAAATATAAAGTAATAGAAGAAAAAGAATCTCATATTGGTTTATAAATAAATAAGACAGTTCATCAGAAAATTAGGTACATCTATTGGCAGAACTTTACGTGATATCAGCATATGTCACGATTATTTATGTTGTGAAGCTGATGAAAAGTAAATTACATTTGCCTGCAATACATTTTTGAATTGCTCACGATCCAGACATTCACAGAGAGAGAGGGTAGGTTTATGGCAGTTATATATACTTGTTTATAGAGTCACATGCGTTAATGAATAAAATGGTCTTTAACTAGATAGGGAGGTGGGGTTTATATGGTTTCAACCCTACACTGTGTATACAGGCGAGTATAAAGAGCAGGTGTTTCTCCTGAAATACCCATAAAAAAGCCATTTAAATCCTGAGCTTCATCGTTTGAAAGAGACAAATCACTGCTTTCTCCTTGTGTGTGTGTATTCGGAGAAAGCCAAACAAACAGTTGACATGGTTGTTTAAGAATGTGTTAGCATGTGGGTGTATCTGTGTTACATTGTTGCAAACAATGTGTTAAAAAAATACAGAAAACCCTGTTCTACTCTCACTGTCCTTTTATTTGCTGTTAAAGCACAATCAGTGATTTGCGCAGCTGTGTTTGGGTTAATGAAAAATAATTTTTTTTTAAATAAACTGCAAAATTTAAAAATATTAAATCAAAATGTGGGGGTGTGCGACTCCTTTTTGCTCAGCTGACCCACATAGGCAGCTTTCCTCTCACGTCTTAACACTGCTCATCTTTAACCAACACATGACTGCAAATGTGCACACATACACACACAAACACACATGTCCTTTATCCATCACTCTGGAGGCTCTGTTCATTGATGCCTCCTCTATATCACTCTCTTTCTCCCCCTTTTCCGCTCCCTGCAATCCTCCCTTTTCATCCCCCTGGGCACGTGTGTATAGTGATGTACTAGCAATATATCTGTTGAAAACTGTGCTTTTATCGCTGAATAAAAAAAGAAGATGGTAAGATAAAAACTAATATTCTTATTAAGACAATGACAAGCATGTCAGGTTCTTGCAAAAATATTAGTTGTTAAAAAATGTATTACAAAGAAAGGCAATTTAACTCATAACTAAAAAGAAGCAAAACAGAAATTCTACCATTGCTAGAAAGCTGAACTATTAATTCTGATGGGTTCTTTCTTAGAGGAATTCACCATAGGCTGGGGACTCAATTGACATTTAAAGTGACAAAAAAAGTTCTGGATAAGTTCTGGATTGGGAAATAATTGGGTGATGTTAGAAGCCAATCAAAGCAGGACAACAATATACATAGTTACTGTATGAAAACTTTTTCAAATGTCAGAAAAGTTAATTGTTTTATGGGATATGCCGAGTTCAGAAAAAAAACATCACATGTTGGAAAATAAACATTGACAACACAATCAGTGCCACATCTTTACCCAGACTGCATTTGAAGCACAAAAGAAAAAGTAGAAATGTGCTCTGAAAAGGATGGACTGCCACATTACTGATAAAAGAACCAAGAGAACCAAAAGAACATTTAGAGAAAACACATTAGAGAAAACAAACATTTTCTGTTAAAAAAACTTAAATGCCTTGGGAAAGAAGATGGACAAAGAAAACCAAAGGAGGGGAAATCTTTCTGGATCTGAAAAATATTTGACTACATTTTAGTGCACTATCACAATATAATAAAAGATATGTACATGTGTTCATCATTTTGATTAAATATATTAAATAAATCAGTCAATAGCTTAGTCCAAGATCATTCAAGCCTGGTCCATTAAAGCCCAGGACTAACAGTAAACATACTCTGTAAATGCAGATGGGACTGCTGTATAAAATACTTCTCTTACTGACGACTGTGATGCAGATGACATTGTTTTGCTTTTCCCCTTTTCTGAAACGGGTGGTCTGAACTGTAATTGTTGAAAGAGATAAATTGTGTTGCTGCACTGTGTCTAAGTAACAACAGTGAACTTTGTTTATTTTTTTTGCTGACTAAACACTGCTGCCCATGCCATCTCCTCCTTCTGCCGTCTTTACTCGAGCCGATTTTTTAAAAACATCTACACCATAATGCACCCATATGCCTTCGGGAAAGGGTGGAAGTGCACATGCTCCAATCATGAAATAAAATATGATAGATGCACAGTGTAATGTGTCAAAATAACTTTAGTGATAATTGTCCGGTCTTGATTAAGACCACTGTGACTTGTAGAACAAGAAAGGACAACAAGTGACAAGGATCTGGGGGCAAAATATTCTGTATTTTTTTAGTTTAAAAAAAAAAGTCTCATTCCTAACAAAGTAAGGCTAGTTTAACACTGTTAGAAGGAACTGTTCTCTATGCAATAACCCCCCAAAAACTTTAAGTATTTAATTTTCTTAGCCACCCTTAATAATTTTTATCATCATATCATTACAGTTGGGGAGGGAATGCACTTTCAACCAACATACAAGAACAACTTCCGAAGCAAGACGATTGCAAATCATTTGGAGATGATTATTATATATGAAAGCAAAGATATTGCACATCAACCTTAAGCCAGAAAGATGGCACTGACCTGGTTCTGTGGCAGTGGGGGCTGGCTCTGAGCATCAGGTGCCTGGCCCTGGCCCTGGCCCTGACCCTGACTGTCATTGCCCCCCACCGGAGAGCCACGCGTGGTGGCTGTCATGCTCGCCACAGGGCAGATCTTGGCAATCTTGGCCTCTTAGGGAGCGCTGGCCAGGTGGGAAATCACAGCCACCTCAGCTGTAAAGCAGAGGGAAGAGAGCCCGGACACACAAGAGAGGGACACAAGCACCTGGAGATCTGGATGTGCTGCTGAGACCATTGCATAACCTGGGAACAGGAAGAGAGGGTAAAGGTCAGAATGTTCAGCCAGCAATTCCAGTTGTTTGTGAGGCGTAACAGGTGAACAGATGTTTGTGATAGCATAACACGCAACTTTTGTTTTACAGGTCAATTCAACACTGGGAAGCCCATTTCACATATTACCCTAAACATTAGCAGCAAACAATCACAACCAACTCTATCCATATTTTCAATAGTTTATGATTTTTCTAAAAAAAGTATCCGCTTTGCTCCAGACACAACACATAAATAATGACTTTGGTGAACATGACAAGAACAGTAGCTGACGGTCTCTGAGCTGCCTGTAATTGGACCTATCTGTGCAGAAACATTTTAACCAGAGATCTGAGCTTTGAACAAAAAAAAACAAAAAAAAAAAACTAAAAAATATGCCAAATGTAAGGCACACATGAAAGTATGCATGCGATTTAATATTAGCTATCCTGTTGCAATGTGGTTAATAGAAAAGAAGTAAAGGTCAGATTACAATTTCAATTCTCTTTAGTTCTGGTCTGATGAATAATTAGACAGTTATGTTAAAGACACACACTTGGATATTTTGATAGAGACAGGTGGGTACAGTCAACCTGTATAAAAACTCTTCAAAATGCTTTTGTTTGCAAGTACTTAGCCATATTATACTTTTACAATTGTAGATGTGGCTAATGACAGAGCAGTTTCAAAGGTCAAATGCTTTCACTATTTAGAAAGTGAGTGAGAAAATCCAAACATAAAATGCATTAAACATCTCGCTTACTAAACAATCTGTAAAGAGCCCATGTGTGAACAGTCTAGGAATATGCCAGGATTTCTTTAACAGAAAGTGAGCAATGTATTTATTCTGTTTACTGTATGCTCTACCGAGTACCATCTTTACCAGTGGCTTTTACACAGACTCTCTGCTGCAGCTGCTAAGTTAAAAGTACTTTAGAGAAAAACATTTAGCACTGTTTCATGTCTCTTTCTCACCTATAAGAATATCAACCAACCAGGGGACACAGCAATAACTTACCCAACTATCAATCTCTCTAATCGTACAACGTCACAGCTGTTCTAAGCTTATGTCACAGCAGGTGCACATCAAGACAATCCACTGTTTTCCTAAAACATCTGTGTAAGAAAAAGACATATTGTCATTCAATGCATATACCTAAACATGAACAAATATCATATTCAAGCCTGATTAACTGTCCCATTACTGGTTGTAGTCTACTAATTTATGACAGATTATTTTCACCATAACGACAGTGAAAGTTGATAAGACTTACCTACTCAAATCCATTTTGTAATTAATTTAATTTAAAATATAATGTCTAAACTCGTGTTAAATTACCTCCTGGCTGCAAGTATTTACTATTAAATATAGTATTTATTACTATTACTATAGTATTTAGTTATTTTTCATTAATATAAAATCATAATATGTCTTGGCATGGAAATGTCATCACGGGCCTTAGGTTTAAAATGACTATGGATGTAATCAATACGTTTTTCTGTAAAGAAGTGGTTGGTTATCATTTAAGGCAACATAACTTTAGTCCAAATAGTCAAGATATATAAAACAAAATGTATATATAACCATCTCATCCCTGTAGTTCCAATATAACTACTATAGCTGTTACATTCCATTGGAAGTACTTCTTTTCTGTTATTGATTTGTGTAGAAACTGCAAAATCATGGCTTCCTTCTAGTTCATAACCATAAAACTACAGCAGCTAACATTTGCTTCTGGGTTAACAAAAATTCTATGTATATCTTACATTATTAGTTGACTAATTAAAAAATATATTTTCATGCTCAATAATACAGTGGCCAATGAATTTGTCACAACGCATTTGCCTGTCTTGTTATTCAGCACAATCAAACCTACAACTCATTGACCAGTTGACCCCTTGTTCTTGTCCCCTTGCTCTGTTTAGTTGTGGTGACAATTTGACATGACTAAATGGCACTAAATGCCACATATAATAGAGAAAGCCAGTGAAACCTTTAAATGGCAGCATTCCAGGGTGTGCAATGCAAATATTAAGCAATGATCAATACGTTTATGAACACAATTCTTCCATTACGATACCATTATAGTCAAATCTTTGTAAAACAGTCACCTTGCTATCCATACAGTGCTATGCCATTCAAAGCAGCACATCAGCAGCACACATTTCTAAATATACAGTAAGTAATGTCATAAAGCCTGGTACCAAAAAGGTTGATCATTTCTACTTGTTTTTCATTGTCCAAGACAATCACTGAACAGCAATAGAACAAAACTGGCACAGACTGTGCACAATAATATAATACACAACTTATTTAAACATCTATGTTTTAGATACTGACTGTTGAACCTTTGAAAAGATATGACCAAGTTCCAGAGTCTGATAGTTTATCAGGATATGATCACAATATCTCATTGGGTGTGTTCACTCTTGTAATTTGTTTTCTTTGGTTTGCAATAGAGCAAATCTTTAATTAGAATATAATGAGCACTATATATAATAAGCAATTAGAATATATTCAGTTTAGCTCACAAGTATTGGGCCCATTTAGTGCACACACTTCTGTGATCAAAATGACTAAAGAATTCACACAGACAAGACACGCATCTTGATACCGTCAGTGCCAACAATTATGACAGCCCTCATTATATAGAGGTTTTCATAAAAATTTTGAACCATCTCGCCTTTTAAAATTTTATGTTCTATGTCTGGTAAGATATTTTCTGGTATGTTTTTTCACATATTAGGCAACAAACAAGAGTCTATATTAAGAGGTAAACCAAAACTCTTCAAAAAGGTCCTTGCATAGCATGAACAGTAACTTAATACCAAATTGAAAAGCATTAATAAAGGTGTGCTGTTTAAAAAAAAGAGCTAAACAGCAAGTGTAAAGATATTCAGACTTTATGCACTTACAAATTAAGTTTAAGTTATAAACATAAACATATGTATGACCAGGATATTAAATACTAGGGTCTATTCGTCATTCAGGAAATGGACCACTAGTTAGTGTATCAGTTTATTTTCAATGTGAATCTAAGAAAATAAAATGTTAAATTTAATATGTCTATAAGCACTGTATTTTGTTTAGCTTTTTTAATATTAGGGTAGTGAAAACAGAATTGCTATTTTACAGTGGCTGTGACACGTTTTAGTATCAGCTACTTAGGTTACAGCTGTCAGTGGTCACACAATACCATTACCACAACTGTTAATACAAAGATATTGTTTTATGTTCAAAGACACAAAGTGTCACTATTCTAAAGGACATTAACAGCAAACAACTCACTTGCTAACCCATCCACTGTAGGGGAAAGGGTGGATTGCAATACTTTCATGACGCACGAAAAAAAACATGTATTTTCTTATAAGCAGAGTAAAATCTACACATAACGATGATAAATGCAATTAAAATAAAGCATAACGGTTAGTGCAACTATATGTGGGCCTTCTGGACTTCAACCGGCTTTGACATCTTAACACTATTATTTCGACGCCAGAAATTAGACGGTGAAATCAAACACCTAACGTTAAGTGTGTTGCCTTAGAACATAGGCAGCTGTAAATACAGTACATGTTCACATGGTGTAACAATTCCTGCACAATGCATTAGTAAAGTCAATATCAACTGCTTTAGTTAGTTAGCAGGTTGTTGCAACTAACATTAATGGAGTTGTAAGCCTGCAAAGCGATCCGCCCAGAGACCATATACAGGAGAACGACGAAGGCCTCGTCCAAAGCCCACTATACAAGGCCTCGTTATTTGCTCGGGCCTGGCATAACACTTGACCAGCAAACATAATGCTATAAAACAAACTAGCTAAAACACCGAGATAGCCGACTTATGACTTAAAGTCATAACCTTTCAACTGATACTTGGCCTTGGCGTTAATGTCAACGACGTCGGCGCTAGCGCGCTGATAAACATTGGCTGTTGGCTAGCCGCTAGCTTCGACACCAACTGAGCTAACGAACCTATTTTGACAAGCGTCTCGATGAAATGACTCAACTAATTTGCTATGTATATATTAAAACACATTCTACTGTACACCAAAAATGTGTCTTTAAAAGCCAACAGATTTCACTAACAGAGTTAAAGGGCCTGGTTATTATAGACAATATTAAATATGTTACTGACAGGGGAGTCGTCTATTTCCTGAATTTTAAGTGACCTGTAACATCTAACAGTAGGTTATAACTTAGCTCAAACAAATAAAAAATATATCGAGCGAAAGTGAAATAAATGCCTACATAAATGCAGTGTTATCAAAACAGCAGTGGGTAATAATGCCAAATCTTGAATAAGAGATTAACTACATTTTAATAACTTGTAAACACGATGCGTTTGAAGAAAATGCTCCATCGCTGTCTTACTTTATGGCCAGTGTCGAGGACAATCTGCAAGTAGCTTAGCCTAGCAACAATCATCACGGCTTCGGGAAATGTACTGAAACTAAAAGTCACATATAGTTGTCGTAAATTCCACATTAGTTGCATTGACACCGACAAAGAAACAGTGGGGATTTAGCAACCATTAAAACTCAACCAGTGACTGTATATGTAAAGTGATCCAAAAGCTTTAAATGTTATGTTACCTTGCATCAACTACCAGCTGACGCTAACACCATTAGCAGCAGTCAGCTAACAATCAGCAGGCAGCGAAGCGAGCTAGTGGAGCTAATAACTCACCCAGGAATTTGATATGACTTCCTCCTCTATTCACGGGCTACGTCCAGTCCGGAACGATTGCTGTCGTCGTATATTACATAAACGTGGCCTATATCGGTGACAGTTTGGCAGGACAAAAACCTGGTGTTATAATGTCTAATTCCAACGATTTCCTTCTCTGCTCCTGGGTGTTTTTCCTGCGTCACCGGCGCGGTAACAGCCCCCCTAACTCTCTTGTCTAGTTCGATTTCTAAAGGCTTGTCACCTCACTGAGTCCCAGCAGTCACTCACAACTTGAATCACTTCAACATGGCGGAAGCGCAATCGGATACAGTTAAAAACACACCAAGCGATAGAGTGAACTCCAGCGATCCGTGCTGTTCGTGGGCTAGTTTAAGCTGTAACTGAGCGCGGTTCGGAAGATACACCGGCTGCTGAATGGAGAGGCATAAAACCCCTTTAAATTCCGATAAGTGACTCCGGCTCCAGCTCACATACAGAATCCATAGTTTGGTAGAAGCCAAGACAAAAACGGTGATGCACTGAGAGTACCTGCCTACATCGCCTCCTGTTGTATGGGCTGACCATGAAGTACTGCACAAAAAATAACGAACACAAAGTCAAAACATTAACATATACCCAACAGCATTTTTGTACTTACATAGAATGGTATATTTGGAAGTGGATGCGGAACCTGATACATTTAGGATAGCCAATATTAATTATTTGACTTTACTTGTATGTGTCTTATAATTTCTCTTGCTGGATAGGTACAAGTTCATACATTGTTATATACCCAACTTTAATAGTGTATTTTGTTAAATCATATCAAATACTTCATCAGCCTTTCATGTCATCCCATCCTTTGTTGTTCTTTTTACGGTAGTTGACATCCAATATATACATCCATGACTGGCTCCACTTGATTCCTAGTAAGTCACAGGGTCTCAAATTTGTGACTACATCAATTGCATGTAATACAATTGCACTAAATATTTACACCTTGTGCACTATCCAGCAGTTGCTTTAAGTGAGAAAAAACTGACTATATACACACTATACATCTTAAGTCAGGTACACCAAAGAAAATAGGAATATTCACTATTACAATATTCAAGTGTGGTAAGCAGCAATTTCCACCTGTTTATAAACAAACAGTGTGGGGCTTCCCTTCTTTGTGGCTAGTAATATGGACGCTATTTAAATTCCTGTATGCATGAATGGAGTGCATTAGTGCAAAAACATTGTTTTATACAAATGTAATTGACCTCAGGCTCTATTTTTTCATTCACAGTGCTATATGTTAGTAGTTTAACCAAGCACAGACATATGTGTGCTTTTACAGATTTTATATTTATGCACATTTAAGTAGACTTGAGGTTTTAAGTTTGACAACTAGTGGTTATAATAGTTTGCAGCTCCAGGCCAGTAAGCTACCAGGCATCTGAGAAAATCTGGAATAAAATCACTTTTGACCATGGTTGACTGGTTGAGCTGGATGACTGAGAATGTTCATAGACATGCTGACTTTTCCCAATTCTGAAACAATTTTGTATGACTATACCTCAATTTTTGGAAGAAATAGATGCCTAGCTTTGGTTGTTGATAGTTAACGATACACCACAATTCAGACCAAAATAACCAATGAATAAAATATGAGAAAAATGTTTAAGCTGTTACTAACTGTTTTTTCAAATTGATAGACTTCTTTCATTTTTTTATAACAAAATATTATATGATAATATTATATATATTATAAAATATAAAATTGACACACTGTCGAAACAATTCTAACCTTCACACTGCGATAACAAATTGTCTTAAGAGTTGCCTTAAAGTTAGTCCTGACATTGTACAATGCTAGCATAAAATGTTAGCATACATTTAAATACCAGAAAATAGTTTACGAGTAAATCGTGCATTGAATATAGATGTAAACTCTAACAACAACTTTAGAGCCCATTTTCAACCTTTAACACATAAAATAAATTGTTTAGTCCAGCAGACAATCCTTCGCGGCGATAGCAAGGTACTCTGGAACTGTAGTGGCGTTCCAGTCTAGGTTTTCCTTCCTACCGCATCCATTGATAATCATTCCCGACAGCAAAGATGGCGTCCGAGCGGCGTTGAATCTTCTCTTAAATGAGATAACGAGTTTTGGTGGATATATTGAGTTTCATACCAAACAATAATACTTACTTTTCAGCGGAAAAGAAAGAAATGGTATAAGACCACGAGAAGGAAACGTTTGTTTAGACTTCGCGACTGCAGCCTGACAGTTTTCAGTTATAGCTCTGGCTGTGCGTCGCTACAGCTAACTGCTGTGTAGTGTCATTGTAAAATGGCTCCGGTGCAGATAGGCTCAGATGGACAGCTGGTCCCACTCGGAGGTCCGGTGGTGTCCGGACCGCAGCCACCGCCACCCGGGACTTCGGCCACTCACGGTATTCGACTAAGCCTGCTGATAGAGTTTCTTCTCCAGAGGACCTACCATGAAATTACCCTGTTGGCTGAGCTGTAAGTATCGTGTTAGCATTAAAGGCCTCAATGCTAACTGTTTAACTGGCGGGCGATTCTGCTAATTTGAGTTAATTGACAGGCTTTACTAAGATACACTCGAAAACTGATGCAAACAACGTCAAACTGTCCACCACTAATATGCATGGTTTTAATGGTAGAGATCACTGGTAACTAACGTGTGATGTGAGGGGGGCGTACCGGTAAACTACATTCTTGAGTCTTAAAGGTGAAGGTAGTTACCGACATTACCGTGTTAACGATGATCCCATGTCGAACACAGTCAAAGGGGGCTGGATTATTTAAATATTGTAGTGAAAGAATTGCGTGATCTAATACATCTGTCTTTTCACTTTTCCCCAGACTTCCAAGAAAAACAGATATGGAAAGGTGAGTGGTCTGCGTGTTATCTGAAACTGAATCCTATGGACAATGATTGTGTGGAATAATTGTCCGTTAAGCACCAATGGCATGGTAACTTTCATGTTTTTCTTATTTTAGGAAAATTGAGATTGTCCAATTTGCAAGCCGAACCAGACAGTTATTTGTGCGGATGCTGGCACTGGTAAAGTGGGCGAGCAATGCAGGCAAAGTTGAGAAGTGTGCGGTATGTTTTGCATTATTTTTAACTATTACCAAAGCAGAGAAAATAATGATCAAAAACCCAATCAACTCACAAATTAGTCTGTAAACATTATATAATCAACTAATTATTTGACGTTTATTTTTAAATTTCTGGTTTCTCTGCTCAACATTTTAACATTAAGAGTTCTCAACCACAATTAGACATTTTAAAATAATTAAATGTAATTTGATTGCAATAAATATTGTTGCAATTCTACTTACACAATATTACATTTTTGGGAAATACATCTTCTTTCAAGAGCCCTGGTGATTGACACTGTCCGAAAGCTGTCACATGCTAATACATATCCACACATAAGTTTATTCCCAGCAATTACATTCAAGTGTAATGCCAGCACTTAGACAAATGAGTGCACTCTCAGAAAGCCAGATTACAGATAGTTTGTTTTGTAAAATATTCAAACTTTCAATGTGATTAGTTAATACAGACATAATTAGCATCTTTAGCAATGTAAACATCATGAGTTTGAGCAAAATTAAAGAATATGTTGTGTGTCCAAAAACTAAACATGATGTTGTCGTCTCTAAATGTGTATATGTTGTGTATCATATTATTTTAGTGCCACAAAACATGTTTGTTTCTGTGCTTACAGATGATTTCCAGCTTCCTGGATCAACAGGCCATTTTGTTTGTAGATACAGCTGATCGTCTGGCATCGTTAGCCAGAGACGCCCTGGTTCATGCCCGTCTACCGAGCTTTGCTATTCCTTTTGCCATTGACGTACTCACCACAGGGTCATACCCACGACTGCCAACTTGCATCAGAGTGCGTTTTTTGTGGCTCATTAGTAGCTTATTGTACTATGTTTTAAGTTCAAGATGTCACTTTTCTACAAAATATTTTTTAAATGATGTTGATCATCTATTTGTGCAGGATAAGATCATTCCTCCAGACCCCATTACCAAGACTGAGAAGCAGACCACCCTTAATCAGCTCAATCAGATTTTAAGACATCGCCTGGTTACCACAGACTTGCCTCCACAGCTGGCAAACCTCACAGTTGGTGAGCACCAAATGTGTTATTCTTGAAAGTTTCCAAGCTAAGACATTTTCATGTTAACCTTTGCCTGTGTGTATATCATTTAGCTAATGGACGTGTGAAGTTCCGTGTGGAGGGAGAGTTTGAGGCCACTCTGACTGTGATGGGTGATGACCCAGATATTCCATGGAGGCTGCTTAAGCTTGAAATTCTAGTGGAGGACAAAGAAACTGGAGGTAAGATACACCATCATCCCATCTCACCATATCACAATAGCAGGTACAAGCTAGTGGACACTATCTTAAAATTAACTGTACTATTTTGCACTGGCAGATGGTCGAGCCTTGGTTCACAGTTTACAGGTCAACTTCATCCATGAGTTAGTCCAGGCACGTCTCTGCGCAGATGAAAAGCCCCTGCAGGACATGTATAACTGCTTGCGTATCCTTTTTTTGTTGTTTGTTAATTTACATGTAATATTTGGGAGTTTGTTCACTGTATGTCCAGTCGGAATTTCATTGGCTCAGGTCCCAGTCCACTGGATTGCTGCATTAGGGCTGGAGTGTACCAAAGCATACTGATTATTAACTGGTCAAGCAGACGAGTGCAGCATTCCAAAAAGAGACACAGCTGCAGTATTGCACCCTATTTGAAGCTCCAATTTGTGTAGAACCAAAAAAGTGGTTGTGTTAATTTTTGCTGCAACCTGTCACTCAGTCATTTTGCTGGAGGCATAGTTTTTTTCCTTGATGTTTTTTTTTAAATATCTTGCATCAAAATACATTGCCAAAATTGTAACCAAACATTTAAGCTCTGACAGGAACATTTTATGTAGTTTTTATAGCAAATAGAATTAAAAAAACACAGCGCACATTAAAATGTTGGAGTTAAACCAGCAGCTTGTTTTCAAATTATGCTCACATCAAAGACCCTAATCACGAATGCAGGAGCCCAACCTTTATAAACACGGTGCTAATCAGTGCTCTGTCTTTGCCTCTCCCTCATCAATGTTAACACTGCAGTTTAATGTGTCAAAGAGCAGTCTGTGTGTGGGCACAAACAGCCCTTTTATCAGCAAAGTATGTGTTTCAAAGCGTGTGAGTTTAAATGAACTTGGAATGCTAATAGGAATTTATCCCTGTGATATAATATCTCTGTTCACCCAGACAGTTTTCTTTAACCACCCCCTTTTCCAGACTCGTTCTGTCTGTCACTGCAGCTGGAGGTGCTTCACTCTCAGACTCTCATGCTGATCAGAGAGAGATGGGGAGACCTGGTGCAGGAGGAGAGATATGTACCCGCAAAATACCTCACACTGGCTGTTTGGAAGTACGACAATTACAATACATTTTTTTGGCCATTTTCAATAGGAAACAGATATAGTCATCCCTTTTTTTACAGAGCTTCCCAAGAGAAAGACTGAAATTACTAAACTGATTTTAGAAATAACTATGCAAATACATCATAATGTCTGATTTAATTTCTAACAGTACTTAACATTTTTAACAACTTGCAGATTAATGGTCATTACTTGTTTAGTTCACTCAACAGTCTGTAGTTCACTATGTCCCACAGCAATAGTTTAAGTACTAATAATTTATACTGGTTTATGTTTTTTGTATTGTTTTTTTAGTCAACAGATATTGGGTAGGAAAACCGGAACAGCCTCAGTACATAAAGTCATGATCAAAATCGATGAGTCGGACGGATCAAAGCCATTACAAATCTCCCATGAGCCTCCTCTGCCTGCCTGTGACTCTAAATTAATGGAGCGGGCTATGAAGGTAAAATCGAATCGTCTGAACCACAATGTGGAGTTCAGGTTAAACCTTTGCATTATATATATATATATATATTATATTTGTTATTTCAGATTGACCACCTGTCAGTGGAGAAACTTTTAATTGACAGTGTACATGCACGGTCTCATCAGAAGCTGCAGGAGCTAAAAGCCATTTTAAAGACCAGCAATCCTGGTGACAACTGTAAGTATTATGTTTTTACTGTTAGTTCAGTAATTAAAACCAAATTTGTGTGAATTCTATAACCACAAAAAAGCAAATAAGCCAAAATAGATTCTGCTAATGTAAATAATTTCTATGCTTTTATAGTCTAGTCAAAGTAGGAATACTAAACCCACTGGAACATTATTAAACATGAGCATAAGCTGTTTGAAGATAAACCAAAAGGTGGGGGGAAATGTCATGGGACAAATAGCAATAATGTTAATTTAGTAAAAATGTATAGAAGCTACTAGTTAGCTGCCTATTAGTTAGCTCATTTAAATATAAGTAACACAAAGTTGGATTTAACTTATGGATGGTTGTAAAGTAATCTTAAATATTACGAGAACACCTAAAAATATTTTATAGCTTAGTAAATGTCTCACTCTAATGGCTAGATTTTTTACACCTGCTCTTGCTGTATTAATGAATCTGCTCCTGTTATCCTCCATGTATTGGGTTTTAACCACATGCTGTATTTGAAGGAGTTGTTACTTATTTCAGCATTCGTTGAGACGGCTCTGCCCACACTAGTCATTCCCATCCTTGAACCCTGCGGTCGTTCAGAGTGCTTACACATTTTTGTAGACCTGCACTCTGGCATGTTCAAGCTTATGTTGTATGGATTAGGTAAGTCTTGGATTAAATTATCAAGGAAATATTTTGCTGTGGTTGTTGCTAAACTGATGTCAATATTACTTTGTTTTGTCTGTGTTTTTTTTAAAGACCAATCAATGCTGGATGACATTGAAAAGACCATCAATGACGATATGAAGCGCATCTTGTCTTGGCTACAACAGCTAAAGTAGGTACACAATAGGTTACCATCAACAAATAGCATTATATATTTAAAGTATCAGCAGTGAAAGCCATTTGACTGACTGCAGCTGAGGTCCTGTTTGAAACCCCTAATTCCATTTTGTTAAACTAAAGGTGACAAGCTGGGTGTTAATGGGCTCCCACGTTCTTTTAGAACCATGCACAATCACCAGTGTAAATCTTAAGGGATACAGAGGAGCTATACACTCACGCTTTTCCTGCTGTGTGTGACTAGGTTCTGGTTGGGGGAGCAGCGTTGCCGGCAGTCTGTGAAGCACCTTCCTACGATGTGCACTGATGTCCTCCACCTCTCCAACTCATCTTCTCATCCTGTTGGCAGTTTGTCTAAGCACAAACTCTTCATCAAGCTAACACGTCTGCCCCAATACTACATCGTGAGTCAACTGACCATATACTTATCAAAAGAGACTTTAAGTCACATTTTATTGGAATTTTGGTTTAAACAATAGTAATTTTAGATTTGCAGCTCTACATATAATTTACAAATCAATGTATTATTTATCATTGATTAATTAGCCAAGAAAAATAAAAACTAAAAATAGCTCACAGTTAATAGCTTAAAATAGCTAAAGGTCTTCCATATCATAATGATTTACATACCTAATCAAATACTTGTTTATTAGTCAAACTAGTAGGCAAATTACTTTAAAAATCCTATTACAGATATACAAAAATAATATTTAAAAAATGAAAAAATGTACATTTGCATTAAATGATGGTCAACTCTGTCAAAGTTTAAAAATATAGGGAAAAGATTTAGGAACCATTTTATTTTTATTTTACTAACCTATTCCTGTGTGCTATCTCTTTCCCAACGCTTCTACTCTGCAGGTGGTTGAAATGCTTGAGGTGCCTAGTAGTGCCACAGCCTTGGAGTACAAGTACTCCTTCCTGTCTGTATCTCATCTGGAAGGAGATGACGGACCCATTTGTGCACAGCTACTGCAGCACTTCAAGCCCAAGCTAGAACAACTAGTCCAGGACATTATAACTGGGAAAGTTGTCAAACCAGGAACAAAGAGAAAGGTAAACACCTGAGCATTAATTATAATAGTGGCTTCTATTGTGCATGCTTCTGGTCTAGACAGCATCAAAGACAGTTCTGGCAAATAAAAACAGTTGTATGAGTTTTTTTCTTTTTTTTACAAAGCCCAGTTGACAAAGAAATACAGAGGTAATTTCGCAGTGGTTATAGTTCTTCCTAGTTTAGCCTAAACTGAGTAAAAATTGAGATTTATATTTGGAGTCCCTTTTTCTAATTTTTGCCAACAACCCTGTGGCTTAAGTATAACATTTATTCATGTGATTCTGTAGATACCTGGAGAGCAAGGAGAACCTGAGCCAAAAAAGCCTAAGCGCTCTGGGGAAATGTGTGCCTTCAACAAGGAGCTGGCTCACCTTGTGGCTATGTGTGATACCAACATGCCTTTCATTGGCCTAAGAACTGAGGTAAGTTAAGTAAATAAAACACTCATAGATGTTTGATTAGAATTTAAATAGATGTGACATGCACTTTCTGGCTCAGTCCTCACATTTCTGTGGGTCTTTGAATAGTTGTCCAACATGGAGATTCCAAATGCTGGCGTCCAAGTGGAAGGAGATGGCAGCAGTCATGCAATAAGACTACTGAAGTAAGATGATTATTTTGTGTCATCGTGCTCTGATCCACCTTTTACTAACACAGTGAAGGCATCACTGGCATTACTATAATAAAGCACAGCGTCACTTGTAACCACAGCCTGCTTTTCTTTGGGACCTGATGTTAAAACTGCTGATGTTTTTTTATAGGATTCCTCCCTGTAAAGGAGTTGGAGAGGAGACCAGAAGAGCTCTGGAGCGCTCCCTCCTGGACTGCACCTTTCGATTGCAGGGTCGAAACAATCGAACCTGGGTGGCAGAACTGATACTAGCTAACTGTCCTCTTAACAGTACACACAGCAAGGAGCAAGGTATGGCTCAGTTTCAATTAATCAATGTTTAAATGTATCTATTTTAATATAGACACCATAATGTGATTTAGAGTCAAGGACTAGCTAAGAGAAGCTTTACAGGGCACAACTTTTAAAATTGATTGTAAAAATGTCAATATTGTTCAAATAAATTTAATTGATTTTCTCCAACTGGTTTCATCTGTTTCCTTCATCAGCATCTACACGGCATGTATATCTGACCTATGAGAATCCTCTGTCAGAACCTGTGGGTGGACGTAAGGTGGTTGAAATGTTTCTAAACGACTGGAATGCCATCAGTCAGCTGTACCAGTGTGTTCTCACCTTTGCTCGTGCTCTGCCAGGTATAAAGTCACTCAGTGTCTAAGGTTCAGAGATTACACCTCACATATTATTTAATGACTTTGGTATTCTTTTGATCTGCCATAGATATTACTTTTCAGTAGAGAAAACATCAATCTAATTTTTATTAGCAGAGGCTAATATAGCTGCCTATGGTTTCCTTTCTCTTATAGAAATGCCATCCTACCTGAGCCTGTTTTCTGAAGTGCGGCTCTATAATTACCGTAAGTTGGTGCTGTGTTATGGCACCTCCAAGGGCAGTTCCGTCACTATTCAGTGGAACTCCAGTGGCCAGCGTTTTCATCTCGCTCTGGGAACTGTAGGGCCGAACTCTGGCTGCTCCAACTGCCACAATATCATTCTCCACCAGCTACAGGAGATGTTCAACAAATGCCCCAATGTTTTGCAGCTGCTGCAGGTACACATCATTTCTTCATTTCGATCTATTTTTATCTGTTTGGTAGTTTATTCATATTTCATCACCAATATCTATTTTTGTCTGTAGGTGCTGTTTGATACACAAGCTCCTCTCAATGCAATTAACAAGCTACCAACAGTGCCCATGCTTGGCCTAACCCAACGCACCAACACTGCCTACCAGTGCTTCTCCATTTTACCACAGTCACCCACGCACATCCGGTTGGCATTCAGAAATATGTACTGCATTGACATATACTGTCGCAGCCGCGGTGTGGTGGCCATCAGAGACGGGGCCTACAGTCTCTTTGACAACACTAAGATTGTGGAGGGCTTTTACCCTGCTCCAGGTCTCAAGGTATCCCAATCTTTCTAACACTGTTGGCTTTAGGAAATAATTATTTTGAGAGACTTCTTCAGGAAACAGGGAACAAGTCTCAAGTTTCAATTTTAGCTCAGTGGTTACAATTATTGACCCTGTCTTTTGGCTCTATCTCTTGTAGACATTCCTAAACATGTTTGTAGACAGCAACCAGGATGCTCGCAGACGCTCTGTCAACGAAGATGATAACCCACCCTCACCAGTGGGTGTGGACATGATGGAAAGCTTGATTAACCAGCAGCAACCACCTCAACAGCCACACGCAATGAGGGGTGGGGCAGCAGGGGTATATCCTCTCACCTCCCCACCAAATTACCACGCTAACGTCACTCCTTCACCCTCTATGATGCCCACACAGTCGCCAGGTGAGGACACCTGATATTTGTGTCAGAATGTTTGTGTAAATAATTTCTTACTTGATGTCAAGCTGCCATAGTGCATTGTGAACATTGCTGTGGCACCGTTTCATTATTATCACCTACATTTCTGTTGATTTGTGTTTTCATTCCATGTGAACACTGTGCATTTGTCGATAAGAAAATACAGAAAACCGACCTATCCATCTATCCATTTTAATTTTGAAAAAACATGAGCTGAGTTCTGTTGTTCATGCAACATGCATACCCAGCACAGCCAGCAGGGAACAAGGCTTGCATTTTGTCCTGCTCTGTCCATTCTTTGCCATGTCAGCCTGCCAGCCAAGACTACAGCCCTTCCGCCCAGCTTTAGTGTGTGTGTGTACGTTTGCGTGTGTGTGTATTAGGAGAACTTGTCAACCTCTGATGAGCCCTTTGGTGTGTGTGTGTGTGTGTGTGTGTGTATATATATATATACATATACAGGGAACATCCATACCTCTGGCTCCCCTAGTGGGGCTCTGAGGGCACCATCTCCCTTTGGGCCCACCCCGTCTCCGTCATCTCTGGGTATAGCCATTGGTCAGACCAGCTTTGCCAGTCCTCACGGTAAGCAGAAGGATGGCTATGTATTCTGGTTGGGAGTTGATTATGTTAGATTGGTCTGGTAGGCAAGGGCTGGGGCAGGCTGATCTTCCAAAATGTAACAAATTTAAGCTAGCAAATAATTTTAACTTTACACAAATATATATATATATATATACCAAACCTTATAAATACAAATGGTTTCGGATGTCTGATGGCTGCCCTTGCTTTTACACAGGAGCCCTTGACCCCAGCTCTCCATACCCTATGGTGTCACCCAGCCACCGTGGCCAGTGGCCAGGGTCACCCCACCAAGTCTCAGGGCCTTCTCCTGGGGCTAGAATACCAGGCATGTCTCCTGGTAATCCATCACTGCACTCACCTATCCCTGATCCTCATTCTCCACGTGCCGGGACCAGTAAGTTCTTGTCTTCCAATTCGGATTGCCGCACCTCTAGTTTTTCCCTAACTTCTATTTTGCTCTGATTTTTATGTAAAATCTCACACACTGACAAAATAATGATCATAAATTGTAATTTTTCTTCAGGTTCTCAGATCTTGCCTACCAGTATGCCTCCACCCCGCAAGCTACCTCAGCGACCCTGGGCTGCCTCCATTCCAACTATTCTCACCCACAATGCCTTGCATGTGCTTCTGCTGCCTTCACCCACCCCTTGCCTTGTACCAGGTTTGGCAGGAAGCTACCTCTGCTCACCACTGGAGCGCTTTTTGGGTTCAGTGATTATGAGACGGCACCTGCAGAGGATCATTCA